AGTAAGTTGACTTTACACATATTGTTAAAAGTTCAATAATGGTGTTAATGCTTAGTTGTGTGCGTTCTTTAAGATTGGTGTCATTTTGTAATTTTAATTTTTCAATTTTTTTTTAAACCTTAACTTGTCAAAAAATCACTTCTTACTCASTATTGATAGTATATCTTACTCTGGTATCAGAATTCAACGTATAGGAAACTGCGAGAAGTGCCTAGCGCCTTTTCACACAGGCCACTCTGCTGCGCTTCTCACTGCAGCGCCACAACCAGGACAATCAAGCGTAACAATTATTCTTTCGTAGATTTTTAAGTTTTGTTTTTGTGATACAAAATTTCTTAATACGTGTTTATTTATAAAATATATGTGTTTTATGTTATAAGTACAAATGTATTTCTCATAATAAAATTAATTAAATATAAATTATGTGAATGCCTTAGCTCAATGTTATTGAAAGTTTTTCTTCAACTGAAATGTAACTTCTCATTGTTGTATTTAATCCGGCAACTTCATTGTTCAGTATAGAATAATTTCTTTGTGGTTTTAAAGGAGCCAAAAAATGTGTCATCATCTACCCTTTTTAGGCCGTTCACTTAGTAATGGGTGTACCCAGAATTTTTTTTTTCTGTCGAAGTCGTCGTCGACGGCCCATTATTAAAAGAAGCAAATGTTAAATATTCAAGCTCATTTTAAAATTGAGAATATGATTGAAACATACATTAGCATGCGAAGTAAATTTAACTTCAGTTCAAAGTACATATACCATAATACCAAATTTCAGGGGCAATTCCGATTATATGTCTCTTAATACAATTCTGTGGATTGAATTTTTGTCTTACTTGTATCTTTTTACATGACGTTTTAGCTTCAGTAGCAGCTGTAGATTTTGAAAATCGGTCAAAGAGAAAAAATGCTATCACTGTAAAATCAAAAAGTCGATTTTTTGACATCACCCTGTAAATAAAAAAGATAGAAAAAAATTGAAAAATCGTTTTGAGATTTGAAGTCCATGTCTCTATGCCTTTCATGCTAAAATGAAAAAAAATGTTTGTTCAATTGGGAGCATGTCAAACTTTCACAAATTTTGCATTGCTTCATTTGCCACCCTGTAGAAACTGTAACTGAAGCAGTAGTTTTTTGTAAAAACACTAATAGAAAGGGAATTGTGCTACACAACAATTCAAACATGAATCAAATAGCTTGTAGCAGTCAGAACTTATCGAGTTCCAAAGTAACGTTTATTTTGTTGAGCAGTTTAGACTGATTGGCTATCTGACGATTAAGTAATGATTAAAATTTTAAGGGTTTACTAGAGCAAGCTCTTTACCAAAACGTTCTATACATTCATTTATTCTTATTGGTACAAAAACATATAGACACATAAAACTTAGGTCATAGATGCTGCACAATATAATACAAAGGTAAAAATTAGTACAAGTACAGAAGTATGTAATATAATATCTACCTACTGTTAAACTAACAGAAATGCTGATAATCACAAACCCTTAATAAATAAATGAAAATTATTAGTAGATCACTAGAAAAATAGAAAATAATTTCGAATAATCTCTAGAAAAGTTGTAAATGATAACTCTACTTAACTAAAAAAACATTTATGACTATGTAAAAATCTTAAATTACGGATACATACCGTAACGTATATATTTAATAATAGACTTACATTTGTGTACATTAGAATGTAGTAACTAGTAAATGCATTGAAGTCCAACTTTGACCGTGTCACAATTCTGTCTACTAATTATATATACAGACCATGTAATTTCTGCCATATAATATAATTCGTTAATAAGATCCAGGTTCTTCCGTTGAAATGCACATGTCGATTTGTTTCTTAGAAATTAGAAAATTAAGTTTGATTTAAGATTTCTTTCGCATCCAATAAAGTGTGAATTTATGGGCACCTTTGATTTACAAGACCTTTAATTGTAATTTATCTAACTAAAACTAAAATAAACTATCCTATAAAAGTTACTGAAAAGGTGAACAAAATGTACACGTTTTCAGTGCATTAATACCCTTCTAACTACTATAACACGTAAAATGGACGAATGTAATTAAAAATATATCAGTTGAGAACAGAAATAAGCTGCAATAAAAGAGTAAATATAATGCAATTGTATCATTAAATGAGATTTTCCCCAATAGAGGTTTGCAAAGTGAGTAAAAAATGTTCAAAAAACTATACAACTAAGTATATGTATAATATCAAGTAATTTCGCCAATTGTTTAGCAATTTGTACTTTATATGTCAAAAACAGCCTGAAAAATCTGATACAAGACTTTGATTATAGTTTGTATAAAACATATTTTTATTTTATTTCATGAAAACTAATAAAATTTCCCTGAAATAAAATAGAATTATCAATTTACAGTAATTGAATGGTAAACAATAAGAAGATGCAAATTGCGGAAAAATCACTCAGACTGTTGGACCTTTCAGATGATGCCTATAATTAAAGTATTTATTACTAAACAATCACTTCTTACAAGTTGTACTGTCACAACCATATTAGTGCCTTATTGCATCACTCACAACATACAGAAAGCTGAGCTCAGTATGTGCAACATTTATTATATTCAATTTAAAATTGTATTGGTTGTGCCTCAAATGATGGTGTATAACGTATTACACATTGGTGTATACAAGTAAAGTAGTAAAACAAACAAGACTAGTTGTTTACATTGCTAATATCAACTTAATCGCTTATTGCAAAAAATGGTACTGGTTATCAATAGTAGAATCAAATTCCGTTTTTTTATATTTGCAGACTTTGTGCAATCACAAGCACCACCATGTAAGCTGATTGGAATTTACTAGCTTTGCTTATCCAGATTAAACCAGGATAATTAACGTTGGGCTGTGAAATTTCTGAAATAGAACAACGCTCTATCAACATTTATAAACTACTTTACCAAGTTTCAAAATATGTTTAAAAACAACAGGACACATTGATTTTCAATAATCTGAACATAAAAATGTTTTTAAAGGTTTTTTTTAACTAATTTCAAATAGTCTAGAATGATTTAACGTCTTGTAAGAGAAAAAACAATTTTAAAGTAAAATCCCAAGAACCTATGTTACTATAATACCATGCATAAATTATCGCTTATGTGGTGAAGTTTACTTACCTATATATGCAAATCAGTAATGTAAAAAATAAGGCCACTGTGCTCGTCGAGAGTGTGGAAGCGTCCCCGTATCGAGTGGAACCACAGGCCGGCGGGCATACAGGAATAATGGACTCTACACACAAACAAAGCAATGGCTAATAACTAAACTACCTGATGCACTAATTAAAATTACAGAAATTATACTTGCGCCGCTCAATTAACTATTTCTCTAATATTTCAGGTAACGGTATGAATATGTGAAAACATTTCCTCCACTCCAGTACTCATGCAATATTAGCATTACCATTTGCAAGAGTAGAATTTTATTATAATACTATGCTCACTCAACTTTAATTCAAAACAAAATGCAATCGCAGCCAATTGAACAGACTTATGTATGACTGTATGACGGGTAAATGTTGAACAGATCGGTTAAGCGTCAGATTCACAAGATAAACTTTGTAACATCCACGAAGCATGGGTAAATTCCAAATACAGGAAGATTCAAAATTGGCGTTATTCCACTTTGGCACTCTATATCAAGTAATTCATGCAGAAGAGCTTTAACATAAAACTAGGCGCACCCAAGCATTAACATTGAAACTGAAGTTATGAAAATGTGGAAGTTTGTTAACACTTGACTGAGAGTGTGTTAAGTTATCTAGTAAATTAAGGATATACCACTTCATTCTAGTTTCATACACGCATTCAAATTGTGTTAACACAGGGTTATTCACCACCTTATACAGCTTCTCAGGCCCATAATTAACGAGATACAGGGTGTTAAATTTTTAAAAATTATTGTTATTTTTTCTTTAACTCCTACAATTTATATTTTGCTCAAATTTTGAACTTAGCCTCATGTTTGCAGTTTTTTCGAATCTTCATTTTCGATTTATTTGCATATATATTTTCTATGAATTTTTTTATAAATTTTTTTGTGTGCTTTTGTTAACACTTTTCTGTGAAAGCTTGAACTGCCAGTTGAAGTTAAAATAGGGATGGCTAACGAGTTTTTAACGTTAATTTATGTTACAATAATTGAGGTTTCTCTACTGTAAGCTAATCCTAAAAAAAATTATAAATTAAAGGTGCTGCTCAAAATGGCTCCGTTTTCTCTAAAGCACAAACGGACTCCTCGTCGAAAATTAAAGTCCACTTTATCCAATAATTGAATGTAATTTTTTATAATGTTACATTTATTACTGATACGATTCCATAAATATTATGTAGTTTCAACAGGCGTTGAATATACATATTCTTTTACAGTCCCCCACAGAAAAAAATCACACGTATTCAAATCTGGCTATCGCGGTAGCCAGCGAAGCGGGAAATTATTTCCGCGACCTATCCATCTATTTCGAAACTGTCGGTTCAAAAATTCACGAACGTTTATAAAATATATATCGATATCGCACATCGAACAAATATCGCCCAACGATTCCGGCCTAGACATTAAATTTAAATTCTCTGCGGTAATGATGGATAGATTTTGATTGGAATATTCATGGCTGTTGTGTAGATTTGTGATTTCCCTCCGCCTAAAGCAGGTTTCATCAGTGAAAAAGATACTTCTGTGAAAACAAACGTTCTGATTTAAAATGGAACTACAAAAAATCATTCATGGGTCTAACGGTAACAGTTCTTGAACTTTTTGAAAATGATAGGGATGCAGCACATTACGTCGTATAACTCGATGTATAGTGGACTGTGGTATGTTAAATTGCCCGAATATTTTTCAGGTACTGGTTTCGGGTTCATTTTCAATATGGCGTAAAATTTGCTTCTCATTTCTTGCGGTCACTGCGTAAATGCAACCTCCCTTATTGCGTTGGCAAAGAGAGCCCGTCTCCCGAGCTTTCCGTTCAACTTTAACAAACGTGTGTCGACTTCAAATCACACGATTTCAAAATCTTCGGTGCTCCACCACATTTCTTGGACAGTTACTCTCACAAAACCTTAATGGAAAATTAACTTGCTCATTGAATTAAAATTTTTCATCCACTRTTATTAAAAACAGATTGATTTTACGAAAAAAACCTTTAGGTACACAAGGAAATTGATGCGTTTAACTTACGAGACGTCAGATTTGACATCCAAATSTCCAGCAAAAAGTACCACAGCCCACTATGACAAAATAAATAACTCGAAAACAAARGCAGATACGAAAAAACTGCAAGAGATAAAAAAAAATCTTAAATTGGACAACAAATTTAAAATGTTGTTCGGTCGAAGTCAGTGACGCACCACAAAAAACTTCGCAGGGTAGAAGGGGGTATGACACTAGAAAAAAACGCCCTGCAGATTTTCGCAATCAGTTAGCTCACCTACCGGTACAGGGTCTAAACAGTAGGCTACGTTCAAAATATCTCATAAACTGTAAGAGTTAAAGAGAAAATACCAATATTTGTTTTAAAACTTTAACACCCTGTATCTCGTTAACCTTGGGCCTGAAAAAAAACTTAAATTGCAACTCAATTGTCCTCTACACGCCCCTGCTTGGTGTCCATAAGGTTGTAAATCACCCTGCATAATTGCTTTAAAAGCGCACTGGAAAAACTAGATTCATAAATATTCGGTTGTTCTCAACTGATTAGTGGCGAATTTATAGTCAATCAGCTATAAAATATATGTTTTTCCATTTGTGTGTTAGTTTCATCTGCTACCTTTGCTGATTTGCGCTTAAAGCATTAGATATCTATGTAAAGTGAATAATAAAATATCATTTACAGGTGTTAATTAAATATATTGTTGCCAAATTTCTGATTTCGTTTTTTGCAAGTAGCTCACTTTTGCGTGCATTTTTAAATAATTTTCTTTGTACTCTCTAAATACCCCGGACAAAACTTCCAGCGTAAAAGCGACTATAAATTCTAGAAAAAATAAAAATCAAATATGTTGATGTTAAATCAAATATATATATGTTATTTGTTCGAACCATTGTTGTTATGGCACATATGCATTCAATTTTAAAGTCACAGCTTTTGTAACTCTGACCCATAAAAGCATTCTACAATCGATTACATAATAACCAACAGAGAAATTGTACCGGAACAATTTCTTGACGTAAGAGCTTTGACATCGCCCAATATAGGTTCATATGATAAATTAGTCAGAAGCAACAAAATTTTAATCAAGATTCCACCAAACAAGTCAAAGTCTCCCAAACATGCCGAAAAGTTAAAAATAGGGTCTTTAGAGGACCAAACTACAAAGTGGCTTTACAAAGAACGACTAGATGATTCAAGATAAATCCATTAAAAAAGGAGGATAATGTAAACGAACTCTGGACAAAATAGAATCGAACGTATTACAGGCTACAAAAGAAAGAATAGGAGTTAGGAAAATTTACCGACCAGACCAGCAACGTAAATGTGGGAGGCCGTTTTTATGACATTTGTGCTGTCGAATGAGCGGTTATACCCATAATAAATAGCATTTTCAACTGAAAAGGCTTCTGTGACACCAGACTTTTTTCGGTATGCTTTTTCACGTAATAGAATATATCTAAACGGTGATACTAAAAAAATATTATAAAAAAATCACATATGTGACTAAGGGCCATCATATTGTCCTTTCGGAACTCAATTGAATAACTAAGTTTTGAAACATTGAATTTTTCTCAATTTAATAAAGGCAAATTTATAGTTCTATCGATATTTTTTCTATTTACCTTTTAGTTAATTTTAGCATTAGGGCCTCTACGTAATATTAATAGAAAAAAACGTGGCTTGCAAATGCAAATTATAAAGGAATGACAAAGTTCTGATTTAGTTTTTTTTGCAAAAATTGTGTTTTTTTTATCTTCAGAGGAATGACGTCAATTTAAATCACCGTACATTCATACTCATATTCTGTGAAGAGGAAAGATTTAAATACATAGAAAATTATATTTTATATTATTTATCAATGTCATGCACTTCTCTATCCTCGCGTATCTGTTATCATCTGGCAGAAATTATGTGACTTCTCATGATAACGCAAATTATCGTTACAGAAGAAATTATCTATTTTTGTCTATGTAGCTGGAAAGTATCTATGCGTAATACATTTGCCAATTTAAAAAAAAACTTGAATCGCATTTTTCAAAACAATTCTTATTCGAATATATGTCTTTACCGCAAGTGAACTATTTTATAACGCTTAATGCATAATTTGCTAAAGCAGCTACACTTCAAAATTAAGTGTAGAGGTATTCAAATCATTAGTGAAAAATTGAAGTTTTATATGTGTTCATGTGTTCTAACAAAAAGACTAAAAAACTTCATACAGCCAAAGAAGCCAATTTTTTATTACCGCATACATACTGGCAGATGCAATTCAAAAATATTATTTCAATGTTAAAACATCCTACGTTAAATAAGAAAATATTTTATTCAAGTACTCCGTACATCATTCCATTGACATGTTTAGAATTACATACATACAGGGTGAGTTTTTTTCGATGACTAGTACAGGGATCTTGAAAAATGCAGCAGATAGAACGAAGGTTAAATCGACAAGGAGACGTAGTTTTAAATGCTCTACTGGAAAACCAAATTTATTTTTGTAAAATTTGACGAGTCATGAGATTTGTGAAAAAAAACGATTGATTTATGGTAGATTTTTAAATGAGTCCTAGTTCAGTCAATATTAATCTGACAAATTGCATTCCAAATAAAATGACATGAAACATTTCTACAAATTAACTGTGATTTTTGACATATGACACAAACTTGACTTTTTGTAAATGACAACTATACAGGGTGATTCAAAATTGGCGTAATTCCTTTTAAGGGGTAATAGAGGTTCACTTAGAGAGTAGGAGACAAATATTGAAAAAAAAATTTCCGATAATTTCTAGAAGATATTAATAGTTGAAAATCGAATGTCAACGTTGTTATTAAGCATTATTTTCAAATTGTCCCATGTCTAATTGGTAGAAAATTGGAATACTTAAGCATTCAAAAACAAAAATTAAGATATTATTGTAACGGAAATGGCCAGGGGAACGCACGTTTGAAATGGAGGGATCAAAATTCATGGTATTTCAGTAAATCGGAGCCCCATTTGCGCCCCATTTACTGTCAAATATGACACTGACAAGCGGGAAGTTTCGCACCTGCTCTGGAGATTTCGAGAACCATCTGGGTTACCTGGAGGAAATTATATAAGCGACGACGAGATCCAGACGGGGAGAGTGAAGTGACAGCAGCGACGGAGTGCAGAAGAAGGTTAAACCCCGCGAGTCGGAAACGCGTGTTTTCCTTAAAGTTGTACCGAGTGGAATAAAAGTTGAAAGCTGAAGAAAGAGTTTGATACTCGGCCATCCACGGTACATTATTTTTATATTAAAAAACWAAAAAATTGGAAAGATTGGAAGAAAGGGTCCTACTTTATGGCCMYCTCTATCGATTTTTCAGTTTTATTTTTTTTTGTGGGGAGCYGTAAAAAACACAGTTTATAAAAGTAAATAGGGCAATTTATATGAACTTAAAGAAGCTGTTGTTAGAACATTTGAAAATATTGATGGTCAGTCAATTAGAAAAGCAACTTGTTTAGTTTTAAAGCGCTGCAATATTTCAATCGATAATAATGGTGGACTTTTTGAAAAAAATTTACAACAAAAATTATAGTTTCTAGCGTTCAATTTTAATTATTGTTAGCATGTTTTGATTTTTATAACAAATAATTTACATGAGTTGCTGTTTTAATTAAAATAACTTTATTGCCAACTTTAAGGTAGTTGTCAAAATAAATATTGCATTATTTGTTACTATGAAAACAATGCTGTATGCTTCATACTATTTTCCATGGCTAACTTCGATCAACTACATTAAAAAAGTAAAAATTATTCAAACACTTCATTTTCAAAAAAAAACTAACGGTATATGTCACTGAAATTATTTCTAAGAGTCTATTTAATAAAGGCATAATCAAATATAATTCCCATAAAAAAACAACCAAAGTTTATTTCATGTCAAAAATGAGTTACTTTGTAAAAAAGTCTTCTGTCATTTTATTTGGAATGCAATTTCCTAAAGCTTTTCTATTTAGTGTCAATCTGTCAGATTAATGCTGACTGAACTAGGAGTTATTTAAAAATTTGCCATAAATTAGTTTTCTTCCAATATCTCTTGACACCTGTGAAACTTTAGAAAAAGAAAATTAGTTTCGAGCAGAGTGCAAAACTCAATTTCGCAAAAAGCCCATTTAACTCTTTTCGTATCTATCTATATCTGCTATAGTATCCAAGATAACTGTACTAGTCATCGAAAGAAAAACGCACCTTGTATATAATATATGGTTACAGAGTACTTACCAAAAAGCTCAACTCTGCCCTCCGATGTACCCAACCTATTTGCTGCCTTGCACACATACTGCCCATACTGCCTCTTTTCAATTGTTATTACCTGTAATTAAACCAAAACACTTATTTTCTGAATACATTTTGAACATGTCTTACAATACAATGTTAACAATACACATCTGCTTACTCTTAATGTAGTGTCAGTAAACTCATCAGCAACAGCAAAGTGAGATATCATATTATGCTGATTATTTACTAGAGTAATATCATCCTTTTCCCAGGTAATTGCGGGTAGGGGGTAAGCTTCAACGTGGCACTCGAGATCCATATCGTATTGCAAAGCCTGGCCCAAACGAGGCCTTGGCACTGTTACCACAGGTGCAAATTCTACTTCGACAGCAATATTACCTAAAAATCAAAATACACGTATGTTTCCGAGTACTTTCGATGCAAACTTTATTTGTAATTCATTTAGTATATCAATTCATTCAGTATATCTAATGCAAAAGAGAGGTTAAATATAAAGCTGAAATAATACCACTCACGTCTTGCTCCCTGTCCAACGCCATTTTCCGCAATACAATAGTAAGTTCCACGATCCTCTTTCTTGATCCCTTTGATTTTCAGCGTATTACCTCGGCTTATAGATCCCCCTGTAGGCAAAACCGCGTTATTTTCACGCCTCCATGTAATTCGTGGCACAGGAAAGCCTCCAGCATAACATTCCATATCAACAGCTGAAATGAATTTTCGTTTTACTCCTAATCTGAGAAGTCATCACTATTTTTATTGACCTATAGTGAGAAGTATATTCTTCTCCATACGTCAATAAAAACAATAATAAAAAAGTCCCTATAGGTAAATAATGAAAGCCATTTACGTTTTTCATTATTTTTAGTTTCCCCACCTCTCTAAGTTCAAGTGAGATTCCATCCATTTTTACTTCTAAAATTACTGTAACTTTAAGATTCACCAATTTTGGCTTTGCCCAGAAGTTTTTCATAAAATTTGTATCTGCTTTCTGGAGACAAGTAAATTATATTACGGCAGTTTCACAGCTGAACCTCAAGCTATTAAGTCTTGGGACACTTATAACATTAATGGGAAATTCAAAATATAATTAAATCAATTTTAGGCAATCATGTGTGTGTAGTAAGTGTTAGTAGCAAAAAAAATCTAAGTATATGCGCTTCGGTCGAGAAGGCTATTAAATAACTCGCACATACATAAAAGTGCTCGGTATATAATAGCCTACTTCTCGACCTAGGTATGTAATAAACTATAATTATTCTGCAATTTCCAACTGAACCAGGAAGCGAAAGATAAAATAATGAAAAGATAAGTACCACTGCCTTCTGCTACTACGACAGATCTTGTAGAGTTATCCGAAATGAAGGGAGGTCGACGAACTTGCACTTGTACTTCCGCGCTTACTCTATTGCTTGGAGAGATGAGAATTTGGCACGCGTAAGTTCCTGCATCGGTCTCTTGCATGTCCTTGATTTGCAGAACATAAGTGGAACTGGCCTAGAGTACATAATAATGTTCTGTCATAATAATTTATTGTTATTTATAAAGCGTTGATGAGTTTAAGTATTATAGTAGAACGTCTAGAAAATAGATCTAGGTTTAATAGGAAGTATGTATTACCGGATCATATCTGAGGGAGAACCTAGAGTCATGTAGGATGAGAGAGCTGCCAGTTGAAATAGGTAAACTGCTTCCAGTGTCCAATTTCATCCATACAACAGAATAGTCCTGAGTGTACTGAACTGAACATGATAGTTCCACAGTTCCACCAATATCCTTAATTTGCGTTTGGGAAATAAAAGAAATCGTTGGAGATCTTTGTCCTTTGGCTGCAAATGAGACATTTTACTCCATTAAAATCAGTTAGCTTAAAGGATGCTGATTGTCAATTATAGCAAACTATAGCCCAGTTATTCGTTCTAAACTACACGTAACATCCCTAACATACCAAGTAAACATCATAGAGAGTATATATAGATAGACAAACATTTTAAAAGTTGGAACCATGAGTTATGAGACTGTTTGCGTCAGTGTAACCGTATGGTTACGCTAGGCGCTTACACTAACGACTTCTTCATTTTCGAATTTCTTATTTCAGAAAAGGATTTTCCTTAGCTATCCTCATTCTCACCGGATATAATAAACTTCCGTGAAAAGGGTTTTATTGGGATCACAAAATGAGGAAGAACGAGATTGTTTATAATTACATGCTAAGGAATCGTTTCTTCAAAATTTGCGGCTTATCCATTTTGCCGCCAATGGACAACCTGATGCAAAAGATGAAATGTTGCATTTGTAGAATGCATTTAGATTGAAGGATGCAATTCTTACTTCAAAACCATGTACCAGAAGTGCAATGTACGCCTTCCGCTACATTTCATACCAAATAAAACATGAATTTGTCATGATATTATGTTTTTGATTATTTCCCAAAATGCTCTCACAAACGCTTAGCGTAATCATACACTTTCTAGAAAAAAATATGGAAAGTAAAGAAAAATGTAATACTTGCATTTCGAACTGATATCACTGCGAAAAAACAAAAACTAGTTTAATTTTGCAAAAAAAAATTATTCGGGCGTTAAAGGTTTTACTAATGTTTGGAAAAAAGTCTGAAATAAAACCCAGCGGAAGGGGGTTTTTACATACATTTTCTAATATATAAATAACGGTTAGACTTAGGTATACGATATTATACATGAAATATATTTACAATTTGGAGTAGAATTCAAAAATGTAATAATATATAGAGTTCCATTTAAAATAAGCAAGTTGATACCTACTTCCGGTATAACCGGAAGTGTAGCCACCTTGAAAATATTTTAGATCGCTTGCCCTCAATGACTTCGGCACACTGTCCAATTTTCAAATTTTTCCTAATTACAGTTTTCCAGATCGCGGCGGTTCCCGATGGGACACCCTGTCCATTTCTAGACAGGTCGATTGGATTTTTTCTCCTGATTTCGGAAATATATGTATTGCCTAGATGTGTATTATCAGTTTTTTTTTTGTATTATGTTTTAAAATTTTTAAATAGCAACAAATTAAAGTAGTCTGAAATGAAACAAAAAACTATAGACAAAAAATATCACGGAATTTATGGCTACTATAAATTTAAAAACAAATATTCACTTTTTTCTAAATAAAGGATCTATGGGGGGGGTGTCAACTTATGTGAAAACACCCTGTACACGAGATGGAATCCACAACATCGTCAACGAACATGGGTGGTCAATTGAAATTCAGGCTATTCGAGAATCACCTGTTGCAAGAATATTCTCCGTAAAAGTTTTAGTGGAGTAATTAATATTGAAAATATTGGACCATATTTCTTTGGCGGAAATTTGAACAATGAAATTTACCGAACGCTTTTCCTCCAATAGTTGAAGAATTTTCTCTTTATATCAGAAGGACCATGACCTTTTCCTTGAAAATTATCTAAATCGATGGACGGGGCCCAAGACGCACCTTGTTTGGCCACCGTAATTTCCAAACCTGAACTCGGTGCACTTTTTTATGTGGGGACATGTGAAAACATTTACTTGTTTAATAGGAAATATTAATTGCAGCGATCAACTCATTGGCACAATTCATGAAGCATTTGATGAGGTGAAAAACACCATAAAAGACTACGAACGTGGGAACGAGAGATATGATGGAGGATTGAATTATACAGGGTGTCCCGTAAGCTCATGATCACAAGGGTACTGCGATATTCTTTGGACCAAAAGAAGACGATCTGACCTAACTTTTATTAACAAAAAATGTCTGGCTTCTCTGCTATTGATGGTCAAAGTTCTTCAAAAAAACTATCTTTTTTTAAATATCGGGAGAATGGTACGATGTATTTTAATGAAACTCGGTGTGAATTTGTTCTTATGTAACTCATATTATGTCTTAACTATCATTATGACTCATATTTTGATAAAACAATCGAGTTCAGCCGTTTTGGACAAGTGGTGAATTCTTGAGTGTCGTGGTACAAAAACTACCAGAACTTTTTAGTTAAAGGATGAAATCAACTCATTTTTTTTAGGTTGATGCACTAATCATTTATTCACAATTTTGTGCTATTTTTAAAATCTTGTAGCATTTATAGTTTTTGCAAAAAAAAATATTTCTGTTTTTTTGCCACTTAACAATGTTAGACATTAACTGCAAATATCGTGATGCGAGGCATAAAATTATTGGCAATCAATCTCACAAATTCGTTTTGAATGACCTTTTCTAATGAAGAAGTGACCGACATGGTCAAAGTATTAGGGTTTTGCGAAGGCAATTTGTGTGAAAGCGTACGCGTTTACGCGGCGCATATTTGCATTGCTAAGTGACTGGAAAACAGACATATTTTTTTAACGCAAATACTATGATTGCTACAAGGTTTTACAAAGAGCACAAAATTGTAAACAAATGATTAGTGCATCCACCTAAAAAAATGAGTAGATTTCATCCTCCAACTAAAAAGTTCTGGTTTTTCGACAACACAAACGACACTCAAGAATTCACCACTTGTCCAAAACGGCTGATCTCGATTGTTTCATCAAAATATGAGCCTTACATAAGAACAAATTCACAGCAAGTTYCACTAAAATACATCGTACCATTCTCCCGATATTTTSAAAAAATATATTTTTTTTGWAGAACTGACCATCKATAGCAGAAGGGCCAGACATTTTTTGTTAATAAAAGTTAGGTCAGATCTTCYTCTTTTGGTCCAAAGAATATCGCAGTACCCTTTTGATCATGAGCTTACGRGACACCCTGTATAGGTAAGTAAGTACCTGGAAGGTAAGRTAGGTAAGTATCTCGAATACTCTGTCGATCACCCTGTAAACCCGACGAGGAGGAGTAAACCCGAAGATGCTGACCGGACGAATTTTAGCATTTAAGCATGAAAAGTGGGTTTCTCGTTAGTGGGCATTTGTTTCTGAGTTTTTTTCACATTTATYATACTTACAATAATGATAGTATTTTTAAATAACAGAAAGTACTTTGAATAACCTTATCTAATATTTAAAGCTAAACATGATCATAATTATTTCTCCAATATGGTGTGTTTATTTTGAATAATTAATTTTTTGTAAATCCAAATATACAAAACTAACCAACATTCATGCTATATCGCTAACGTTGTGAAAACTTGTCCACATATATACTTAACTAACAACAGGCATTGGAATGTGTTATTCATGATCTAGATTGCTATAAAATATTAATTGTAGTTTGCTACAAGTGATTAGTGAATCACTCTTCAGCAAGTGACTAGTTATTGCCATGTTGATCAGTTTAAGTACTAATTATGATTTACGGAATACGTGAGGAATTATAAAAGAATACCAGGAATAAATAGTCCAATGCATGCCAATACCTAAATTTTGCATAAGAGTTATTAAATTTAATGGGAGGAGTCCATGCTTTGTTGTAGGGATGGTAGCTATATTACTAATATCCAATGCAAATATTTATCAATGAGCAAACAAAATTATCGAAACAAGATTACAGTGTTAGTCTAGTATCACTTTATCTTATCAATAGATAAGATATGGTTAAGACTTACCGTTATTTATACAAATTACGACAACAAACAAAATCGCTACCTTTAACAACGCCATATTTTGTTTGGTACTGGAAAGGTATCAGTGTTGCCAATATTTGAAGTCAAACGTTTAGAAGTTTTGGCTCACTAATGTCAAATGAAATGTGTAATTAAATTTATTTTCCTTAACAGATGAGCCGTCAAAATAACCGTAATAATCAAGATACGTAATGTATGTATGTATTCTAACTAGTGTTAGCTTGTGAAGGCACTATGCAGCCCTATTTTCGAACTTATGGGTTTATTTAATATAAATAAATTAAACAGAGAATAATTCTAAAATTTAACAGCATTTTAAAAGTTTCAACTTTACCGTTTTTTTCATAACTTTCTGAGTTAGATGTGCCTACTTCTGTTTATTAACGCAGAAATGCTTTCCTGTTTTGTATTATGAGGAATATATGAGGATGGCAACACTGGGTAAGCTAGAAGAAGCGAAGAATACACAGATATAGACGTGAACAGGTACTTTGGTTAACGACCACATATTAAGGGCCGGTTACACAAAAGCAAGTTCAACGATGATTCAGCTGAACCGTCAATCATCGGTGAACCGAGTTCAAATTTTCATGGGTCGTACCACGCCGATCGGAGCTCGGTTCAGTTGAACTGGACTAATAATTTTTTTCATAGGGTTGGCGCTTCCGAAACTCGGTAAAATGTGGTATTTGGTATACTTTGATTGGCAACTATCATGTTACAAGGAATATAAAATATGATATAATTGATAGCGGTCCAAATCTGGTCAGCCTGTGCGCATGACGTCACTCTGAGATATTCGCGTTTAAACTACATTGCTATACTGGTAAAAAGATACTTTTTAGGAGATATGTCGAATGATTAAAGTTTTTGGAAGCTCTGTGACGGGGAGAAGTGATTTTCAATCAAATAGGTATGAGTAAAACCGTTTAATACTTTATGAACATGTGAAATTACATATAAAACTATAAGCTCTACTAGCGCATACACCAATTTATACTATTTTGCTAAGGTTAAAATTATAAATCATTGAAAAGAGCGAAATATTTCTTTAAATATTGTGAGAATTATAGAGCAGTGTAAGTATAGTGGTATTTTATGTAAGTACAATAAAAGTGCATGCTTAGTAATGTAAGAGTCTAGTGAAAAAGAATAATGTATAATTGTTGATTAAAAATGTAAAATTATATGTAACTTTATATGTACAGGGTGTAACATCATCATCAAGATGATTTAGGAGGTCATAATGCTCAGAAAATTAAGAGAAAATGTTGATATACCCATGGTCAAAACCACAGCATTTTTTAGGTATATAGTGACAAAGATTTTTTAGTTAATTTTTTGGTATTTTTCTTCTTAGGTCTAAGGATAACGTCATAAAATTTTGTACTGATGTTTTAATAAGCTTTTACATATATAAGATCATATCCTTTCCTGAGTAATGGGCTATTTTTTTTCTAACTTTTTTTGAACACTGACCGTATGGATTGTGATTTCACATTTATAGTCCTTCTGCCTTTTTTTAACTTTTTGATATCTTGCATTAATCACAAATTGTTAAACATTTACCAAAAAATTGCATAAATAGCTACCGATGTCTCCGTCTAAGTCGCGCCTATTTTTCGGGCGTTAGTGGTGAACGCTGCACCATATTTTAAGGTAATTAACAATTACATTTTTAGATCGGTTTACAAAATACAACTCAATTGTAGTTTATTTGACTATTTTCGACATTTTTGTTGGTTTTGCAGTGTCCTTTACTCATTGTAGGATCTTTATTTTTAGCCTGATTGTCGCTATTGCCACCATAAACAACACAACGCGTTTTGCCTAAATAATATTCACCAACGGGTATTTACAATATTAAGAAACCAGGCTATAACACTAACCATACACAGTTGATCACCACTTGTTTTCGTATGAATAAGTACCTAAATACCACAACATTTGTTTAAAACGCACTGAGCTCAGACGGTTTGTAACGGATTTTACTCTCATTTTGACGTCACGCAGACTGTCAGATGGACACAGCTGATGCGCATGATCATACCCTATATTCCATATGCATGATTGTTTATGTTTGTCAATCTAGCATTTTAGGTCCTACTATTTAATTTAATTAGTTTAATTTAATTTAGATGTATAGTCCAAAATTGAAGCGAATGCACTTGTCTCCGGCGAAAGCACTTGTCTTTATCTAAGGAAAGCCTTGCAATCAGCGTCAGAGGAGACACCGGAGTTTTTACAAATTGAGAATCAAGCCCGCATGGAGATAATTGCTAAGCGTCAAGCTTTCTAAAATAATGTATATCGTTTTTTGCATAAACGTATTCGATAATGTAAAACGACGTACATTATTATTTAGTAAATGTTTGTGTTGTAGTAGAGTAGCAATGGTAATAGTTAGTCTAGTTTGTTAATTACGGATCACCCTGTCTTTCAGTTGTCAACGTCAACTAAGTTGTCACGTAAGTCAAGTAGTCACTGGTGTCGAAGAAGTATAGGAAAAAAAGGATGTTGGTTGTAGTAAAAGGACACATTGTTTTGTTAATATTAGTTTTAACATTCTTATAATTAATAAAAGTTAAAACACAAAAGTTTCTGGCGTTTGAATGACCCTACTGCATATCTGCATTAGTTTGTTACATAAACAGTACTTTAACACTACGTACTTTTATTAATTTAACATATAGCTCACAAATTATAAATAACATAGTTTTTTTAATTTTAGATATTCTAGATTGAAGATACTTGGAAACTGGAAAAGCGACTAATATCGATAATCTAAGTCATAAATTTAAAATCACTATCGTTCAATTGCAGGAAATGATTTGGTCGTTTCCTATTCCTTCAGAACTCTTGGTGGTTCGTCGGACGTTAGATTTGTCGATGCCGAGCGTTCGCTCCATATCGATCAAACGCTTTTTCAACTCATGTAACGCCAAAATTGTTTCTCTTTGGTTTGACATCTTAATAAAGTAGCTTAAAAGTGGGGAATAAAATAAAAAACGTATATGAAGGAATTCGACTACCCCACTAAAGCGATTATGTGCTGGCTAGTTTTACTTGTTTTTTTGATAAATTTACATATTTCGTATACTTTTGTAGTTACAGATATTTGCGTAATCTGACCAAATGCAATGTTGCCAATCTTCTGATTTGGCTTCTTGCAAATATCTCTGCTTTTGTAAGAATTCTCCTTTATTGCTCCCTTAATACGACCAGACAACACCTCCAGAGGAACAAGGCCAAATTTGAATCGCACTGTATATTAGAAAACAAAAAATGTAGATGAAACAATACAATGATGTTTGAATATATTCCGGATCCCAGTTAATAATGCTCGATATCACTAAGATACCTTCTAAGAAATAAACAAACTTTTCGTATTTTTCTACGAAAAAACTACTATAGGTACCGGATGTAACATTTAACTTGAGACATCGCAATAGCTTGAATAAGCACTCTAGGAAAAAATGTTTAGTAATAAAGTTGTATTATGCCGCGGGGTAAACACATTGATGACAAAATTAGTGTTCCTCTGCCCCTCCTTGTGGGGGGAAGGGGGGTAACTAAAGGATTTTTTAAATTGCGCCTCCCACTTTTTATTGCAGATTCAGATTCTGCGGCTAAAAGCACGTGAAATTTGTTTAAACCATTTTTTTTAATTTACGATGGATGACGTTATAATCAACTAAATTAAATTTACCTGTCGCGCATGACTTACCGTCTGTAAAATATCCTCAAAAAACGTCGTTGCCATGGATATATATAAATGACATATGAATTTGATGACATTTTTGGTTCAAAAGTAAAAAAAACGAAATAACTTGAAGAAACTGTCAATCTCTACGCTCAGCGTTTTCCGGACAAAGTGCGGTCCCGAGCTTCTTTCCCTCGAGTTATCAAGCAGTTTTCTACTGAAGGGAGTGCAAAGCAGAAGACAAGAACAGGTAGAGCTGCAATTTGTGCAGCAGGCAATCAAGTAGCAGGCCTTGGTGCTGTGGCTTATAATCCCCATGCAAGCACACGAGAAGTATCACTGCAATCAAGTATTCCTCACATGAGTTTGTGGAGTTTTATCATTATCATACCTCTTTACACCAAGACCTCCATAGGAGAGATTTTGAAAATCGGGTAAGGTTTTGTCAATAGGCATATAATCATATACAGCAATACCCTAATTTTTTTCGGTACGTATTGTTTTCCGACGAATAGTCATTTACAAATCACGGCAATGTTAATAGTGCATTACTGGAGCGCAGAAGATCCGCTTTGGCTTCCACAAGTACCACGCTGAGTGCCAGTATTTTTGGACTGTCAAAGTATGGTGTGGAATCATTGGCAGTAAACTTATCGGTCCCCACATAATTGAAGGCAACTTGATTAGTGCTTTACCGGGACATTTTGGAAAACGAACTTCCAACTCTGCTTGCGGACTTGAGCTTAGAAGAACGGAATACCATGTGGTTTCAGCATGGTGGTTGTCCAGCGCATTATTTGGTGGTAGCACGAGAAACCCTTGTTTGTCAATGTAGTGATCGTTGGATCGGTATAGCTGGTCCGGTGAACTGGTCTGCTAGATCACCAGATCTCATTTCGCCAGATTTATTTGTGTGTGGCTATCTTAAAGACAAAGTTTATAAACAGATACCAACGACACGTGAAGATATGATTGTGCCGAAATTTCAGTAGACGTACTTCTCAGTTGTGTTCGGTCGTTCGAAATGCGAATTGATAAGTGTATTGATGTTTCAAGTTTTGAGCACTTACTTAGTTAAAAACTAACTATAAAAAGTTTTTTTTTACATTTTTTTAAATCAGATTTTACCAAACATTCCGGGAAGTCATGAGCGACAGGAAAATTTAATTTTGTCGTTATAGCGCCATCTGTCGTTAACCCAAAAAATGTTTGCAATAAAAAGTGGGGGTGCCATTTAAGAAATCAAAGTTACCCCCATCCCCCCACAATAAGATGCAGAGGAACACTAATTTAATCATCAGTGGTTTTCCCCCCGAAATAATACACTTTGATACTAAAAATATTTTCGGAAAGTGCTTATTATTCGAGATATTGAGATGTCTCACGTTAAATATTACACCCGGTATACTCGATTTGAACGTCCATTAGAATCGCTTTGTGATTTAGCGAGGATATTCGAATACCATTCCATCCGAACGCCTAACTGATAGTCATAGCAAAACGATTAATTTTTAAAATTCGAGTGTGCTATATCATCAACTCCTTTAAATGTATCTATTGGAGTATAAGTGCCTGCCAAAATACTTGAAATTACTGAACTGGATAAAGTACTCATATCCGACGACATGTTTGGATAATCTATTTGTTGCCTCAGCTGCGATGTACGCCAAACATTTTTTTCCGATCGTTCATCAGTATCCGGCAGAACGGTAGTTATTTCACTGCTGTTTTCATCTACATCAAGAACTGCCATCAGTTTTTTCTCATTCTTGATATATTCGAGAAAATTCCTGATTTTATCACACATAAACATAGGAGCCTCGAATCCTTGAAGCTCTTGCAGCTGTAGGTTTGGATTATTGCAGTACTCATCGCTTTCAGTCAATTCTTGAATGTCCTGCAAGAGCATTATGTAGATCTTACCACCGTTAGCCGGTAAAAGATTCTGTGACTGGAGCCATTCTTTATCTTCTTGATCGCCACAGTATCTCAGTAAGTTTGGATGCCGTACATATAACCTGCCTCTAGTCTGGCCGTAGCCCAATACTTTATTTGCTCTAGAACCCATTATAAACTGTGTATGGGCTTTTATCCTCTCTGGATTCCACTTTGGACCGTCTCGTTTCAGAGAGAATTTACATCCTAGGTTATCGTTGTAATAGTTTGATAGAAGTTTTGACTTGCTACGTTTCGAGGGCAAAAACGACACTGATGAGTCCGTTTCTAATTGAACATCTTTTCTCTTTTGCGCTTGGTGCCCAATCAGACCCTAAATAAAATAATATATATTAGTAGATACCTATTTAATATTATTAGTAAGCGATTTGCAAACAGGAAATCAAGGAGCAACAGCGTTAGTGTAACATAATTTTTAGTTAAAAATGCAACATTCTATATGCCATTTATTTTAATCTGGACTTCGGCAAATTTTTCCAATAGCTGTGACCAAAGAAGTTAATTTCGCCACGTGAAATGAATATGAGTAAATATAATATTTCAAAATTTAAATATAATACAAAGAGAATATTATATAAATAGCTCATCTACGGAAGTTTACGCGTAACGCTGTGTTCAGCATGTACGAGTTGATACAACTATTTCGGGATGTTTGATCAATGTGCAACAGATTGATTCACGAAACGAATGTACCCGTTTTCTAATCTTCCAGCGCTTCATAAAAGGCTCTTTGCAGAGTTTTTTTGCGTGTTTATTTTGTTCATTTATGGTCAACTAACCGTTCAATATTTTTTTTAGATTTTACATTACTTACAATGAAGTTATAAACAAATATCGAACAATTCGATAGTTTTAATTCGATGGTTTCCATAGCTGAAAAAAGCAGCTGAAAGTTTCAGCTGCTCATACCAAAAAGAGAAGGAAAATAAGTTAAATATTTCCAGATTTCCAATGGTAATTCATGCATTTTCCAACAAATTGTAAATAGCAAGTACTTTTAATTTTTATTCATAAACGTAATCATTGAAAACAGAAATGTCGCTTTTTTTGGCTTTTACTCGACGTTGCTCAACGGATGTAAACAATTCGCTTGTATTAAAAATCTCGGCCACCATCAACGAATCTACCAGTGGTAAGGATTGTGCCTTGTGAAAAATCCTTCATCGGTCATTTTCTACAATAATTCACAAAGCAATAAAAATAAACTAAAAAACCCCGTCACTTTCGCGTCGACGGTGGTACGCTCGACTATCCGCCAAAACAATCTCCGGCAAAGTTCCGAAGATCGACTAAACTTACCGGCGTTTTCGCATGACGCCACTTTCATCAGATTTGAAAGCCCATTAAATAGCAAAATAATGTTTTTTCGGGATTTATTTTTCTTGTAGTATATTTATATGCAACAAAGCTTGTATTCTAGTATGTTTGCAAGGACAGGTCAGATTACGCAAAGACCCTATTGCACCATTGGAGAGGTCTAAGAGCAATTGGAGACTTTCATTTCCTTGCAATTAGGAAATTTATTGCTTTGTGGATTGCGAGAAACCATTCGATCATATCTAATATAAAAAAGTCATAGAAATTTAAAAAGTCAAAATGTAGAACTCCAAAAGTAGCAAATGTGTCCTGGAGCCAGAAAGCAAAAAAGACAATGAAAGAACACTCGCCAGAACGGCTACAGATCAGCACAGTTGTTTAACATATACCTACTGTCTCTAAAATTTTAGAAGACGAGTTTTAGCAACAATAAAACATAGTTAATTAAATACATACTCTTCAAGGCAGACTTATCAAAATATTTAGATAAGCAGATGACACATACTGTACTTTGCGCAGGTATATTGGAGGACTCACAAAATTTCTAACACTTACTTCAAGAGGCCAATGTGAATAATGGTAAATAAGCTAACGCACGGCTGTTTACGACGAAAATACTAAATATCGTATGGGACGTTATACATATATAGTAAAAATAGGCCCCACACCTATTATAGGTTACTCGGCTTTCATTGGCGTAATTCGGGGGTGGCAAGGGGTGGCAGCTGCCACCTCATACTTTTCAAGCCCAATCGTTTGCCACCCCAGAATTTTGAAGTTAAAGTATCAATAATTAACAAATAACTAACTAAAAAATACAAATCTGAAACAGGGATTGTTTTTAACTTTGACGATTTTCCCTTAATCATGCTTAGTTTAAAGCTTAGAGAAATATACCATGTGTTTTGAGAACATGTAATTTATAAACTTACATAGAAACATTGGAGTAGTAGATAGAATTTACGTAATAAAATAGGAAACATTAAATGCGCCAAAACCGAGAATGAGCGATGTGAACGCATGTAAGTGGCAACTCTGAAACAGCGACATTTTTGGATATTGAAACGAGTGCTGTAATAAACATTTTCCAAAGTTATTGATGACTTTAATTCAAGTCAAAAAAAGAGACTTTATTTTGTGTAAAAATAACTTGTAATATGTATGATGACAATTGAGTAAAATATTTTTTTGTATAATGTATAATTAATTATAATTATTAGCTCCATATCTTGAGTTAATAACTCAAGTGATTAAAAATTGTTGTTTTAGGGTAAATTGTTAGAAATTAAATTGCCTCAAAAATAGCCTGGCAAAGCGTAAAAAATTAACAAATTTAATATCAAGTTTAAACATTTTTATGGAAGAGGACCCCATTTCACCTGAGTAGGTTTTGCCACCCCAGTTTAAATCCTGAAATGACGCCCATGTCGGCTTTATTACTTAATACCTCGAAGATATTATATTTGAATATGCCGTTTCAACAAGTGAAACGTTTTTTTCTAAATTTTGAACGGAAATTTCCTAATTGAGAAATGTTGGGTCCGGAAGTACAACCTTTTTATGTGTTTGGAATGGTGTGTATTTCATGCTAATAACCAAAAAATTAATAAATTGAAATAATTAGACGATGAAATTACACTAAGTTACTTTATAAAAAGAACGAGTTTAACTCTTTGGAAGTATGGACAGTGTACTGTCCTGTCCAAAAATGCTCAATAATCCCGAAAAACATTTATGTAGTTATTAGGGTGTGTCGAATCGAAAAGTAGATTAGCGGTCACAAATTGTTTGCTCGTCATTTCAACACACCAGTGCAAGCTTCAAGGTAATAGCGAGATACATGTTTCTTCTATTTTTCAGAGATTGGATTGTTGTATCAGTGTTTAATACTTAATTAAAAGTAAATGTTATCTAAAAAAATATTTACCACACTTTCAAAATGTGAAAATCTGGCATCAGTACATTCGAAACCCTGCTCGTTACTGCAATACTCAAAGCCAGACTGTTCTTTTTCTCTCAGAGGTATTATATACATGGATTTAGCTTCTTCCAATATTTTCTTGCAGATATCTCGAATGTTTTCTTCAGTCACGCTGTCCGAGCCTAAATTAACTTTTATGTTAACAACTGCAGGTTGAAAAAATTTCTGGAAAAAAAATAAAGATTAGACTGGGTATAATGATTTCCAATGATAAACAAAGAAAGTGTGAAATTAACGTCACATTTTGACCTCGAGCGGCCAGAAAGTCGTACAGAGAGTAGAACTCAATAAATAAATAATCTAATAACTAATAAATTAAGTTCTGCAAATTAGTGTCACGAACGTTCGAACACTTACCGTGGAAAAAACAGGACTCTGCATGTGAATGTACTAAGATTGTATATGTACTAATTAACAAAATTTAATAATGCTCTTTCGTTCAAAAAGTAGTGAGGTGAAAGGGCAACAATACATAAGAATTATTCAACATTTTAATTTTGTTCGGAATTGCGGTTTGTTTGGCCCATGCAATGTGTCTAATTTAAGATGGTCCAGTATGCCGTTGTTGAAAACCGAAAATGATGCGTCGTTGATTAAATGAGGGGTAGGTAAATGGCACTTTAATAGCTTCGAGAAGAGTTTTCGTTCCAAATTGATTTGGAAAAAACAGCATTTTTACATGATAGCAGATAAAATTATTTCTGGTTTTTAGTGTCAACGCTGAAGCGAAACCGATTATATTTACTTGAAGCAACTTTAGGTCAGCATACAAACCAGATCAGTTTCTTGCTGTTAAACACGGCCTTGCATGTTTATTAGCAGAATCCTAATAAGTAATGCCATTCATGAATACATATTCCAGATATTGTGAACACGAACCTGTATTTTAGATGCTCTTAGTCTATAGATGCAGTGTAAAAAGTATATTAAAATTTTCGTAATATGTTGTATATTAAAATTTTTAATATTTAAAATATCAAAATTGTACTTGTTGCAAAAGTTAGATCACAAACATACTTCGGGACATACCCCCTCAAATTGAATTCCAGTGGACTTACATCGAGTGATCGTGCTGGCCAGCGTGTATCAGAATAAATGTTTAAAGATCTTTGTTCGAATCGAACCCAGTTATATTCTCAAACACTTTTTAAAGTGATAACTTCTTATGGCACGGTGTAAACCCATTGGAATTCGTTACAGCGCCGTTATGTCTAGCCGTCCCCACCCTGCGGTCTCTTGCATTCTCTCTCTCACGCACACGATGACTTAGCAAAGACATCGGCACCACTTGTATTTATCTATGATCGCCACTGAGCACGCGAACCAGGGATGACACAAACCAGTATTTTTAGTAACATGTTCCATGTCTGACTGTTCCAAACTCATACCTGTTCCAAGTATCTGTAATTTTTTGTCACATGCTATTTTAGCCCATGATTAATATTGATTTGTATCTGAAACCGGGCTGAAGCTCATTGTTCCATCGAAACATATCCACGCCACTTGTTCCTAGTTCCTAGTAATTTGAAAATTGGGTGCAAATGTGTGCCGGTCTTGTTCGCCGACTGACTTTTTGTAATTTGTTTTACCAAAGGCATAACCACCTCCGGATCCAATGTGTAGCCATTGAAAGAAGCGATGAAAAAACGCCGAAAGCAACAGAAATTAATTTTTTGCGTCGAGTGGCAGGAATATCGAGAAGAGAACGCATAACAAACGAGGTAGTGAGAGAAATGATGGGAATAACGCATTCTGTAACAGATGACATCAAAAAGAAACAACTAAGCTGTAATAGACATATACAAAAAATGCAAAAACACCGAATCCCGAAGCAAGTGATGAACTAGGCCAACTTGTAGCCAACAGGGCGAAGACGACCTGGAAGATCGAGAGACGAGCTGGATAAAAGGTACCGATAGGGCAGGACAGTAAGCAACTTAGGGACAGAGAGCTTGAATACGAAAGACGATCTCTGGAACGACCGACAGAGATGGAAATCGGAAGACGTCGTAGAACGCTATAAACCAATATTCATATAGATAGACGTCGCAAGGACAGCCTATTTTCGATCTATTCTGCAATGCTGATGGAAGTACATTGCGTGGCCGGTCGTGATCAAAGAGTAAGTAATGGTATATTATGTACCGAGCAGTTTTATATATATCCTGTTTCATACCCTGAGGCATAGCGCCGAAAAATGTAATCTGCGAGGTACTTAACAGCATTCTCGACCGAGGTATATATGTTACCGCCAGTAACCGTTAACTCGCCAGGCGTTTTGCAGAATCGCTACTACTTTGGGCAATCTGCACATTGACTATGGCATTTTTGGAAATCTGCAAAATGCGGTACGCGCCAGTCAATCTGAGTGTTAGATATGTTTAATCTTCACATTGACTAGACAATGTGCTGTTGTTACGAAACACAATTTAACCTGTTGCTACGAAACTGTGCAGGTTAGTTTTGCAACGGAACTTTGTTGCTTAGTTTTTCAAGGAAAATTTATTGTTTAGTACCCTAAGTGGCAAACAACTTTGTTAAATTTACCTACTACTTTGTAAAATTTACTATGTAAAATTTATGTGGTTATTGATTATTAGTTCATATTCGTGTCCTATTAGCGTCGTGCAAACAAATTTTGATTTTTCGAAAGTTTGGTATTCGGGTTTGCATATTATTTAATGTAAAATGAAAATCAGAGTAATTAATAGGGGACATCTTTGCCAATGAAAAATCAAAGACTAAATATGAAACAACATACAAGATTTTTTTGTGAGTGTGCACAAAAACTTAAAAGACATCCGCAGTTATGGAGTTAATAATTTATGCTTTCATATTTGAATGCTGTTAATAAATTATTAAATTAGTGTTAAATAATCTTATTACATTAAATTGTTTTGTGTTTGGTAAATCAAGATAGTATTTTCTCATTAAATCAATAATTAAAATAATATATACTTATTAATGAATTTAATTTCACCAATATCATAAATTTATTTGGCATAATCGCCGGCCCCCAGAAAGTAAATAACAATTTTGCTGCATCAGGTATTCGGTATGCACATTATCTAGTCAATGTGAAGATTCAACATATGTGCTACTCACATTGATTAACGCGTACGGCATTTTGCAGATTGCCTAAAATACCGTAGTCAATGTGGACATTGCCCAAAGTAGTAGTGATTCTGTAAAATGCCTGGCAAGTTGGTCAGTTTGCAGAATGCCTAGACAGTTTTGACATTTCCGGATTTCGTACATTGTCGGTAACATATACATTGTATAATATTTTTGTAACTACTAACACGGATGATTGCCTAAATTGAATTAATTAGACTTTGCATTTCCCATTAATTTTCTGGAGTATATTTCACAGCCTGAGGTTCAGTTGTCAAACTGAGAAACTGCCTAGGAAAAACTTATACCTATTTCATTATTTACCTAGGGATTTCATTTCAACAAATCCCATATTCAGAATTCGTGCGAATGACTTCGGATCAAGTGGACGAGCTCCAGTACGTTGCAATAAAATTGGTCAAAAAAATAATAATTCGCTCCTTTTCGCACGATT